ACACATTTGGTATAGGATTTGACACATTTGGTATACGAGTGATCACTATGATATTGGAATGGACACAATTGATACACAACTGATCACAATAGTCTAAGATTGGACAGATTTTGTATACGACTTTTCACAATGGTCTAGGATTGAAAAGATTTGGTATACGACTGATCACAATGGTCTTAGATTGAACAGATTTTGTATACGACTGATCACAATGGTCTAGGATTGAACACATTTGGTATAGGATTGGATACATTTGGTATACGACTGATCACAGAGGTCTAGGATTGGACAGATTTGGTATACTACTGATCACAATGATCAAGGTTTGGACACATTTGATATAGGATTTGACACATTTGGTATACGAGTGATCACTATGATATTGGATTGGACACAATTGATGTACAACTGATCACAATGGTCTAGGATTGGACAGATTTGGTATACGAGTGATCACAATAGTCTAGGAATGGACAGATTTGGTATACGACTTTTCACAATGGTCTAGGATTGAACAGATTTTGTATGCGAGTGATCACAATAGTCTAGGAATGGACAGATTTTGTATACAACTGGTCGCAATGGTCTAAGATTGAACACATTTGGTCTAGGATTGGACACATTTGGTCTACAACTGGTCACAGTGGTATAGAATTGGACATATTCGGTATAGGATTGTACATTTTGTATAGGATTGGACACATTTGGTATACAACTGATCACAATTGTCTAGGATTGAACACATTTAGTATAGGATTAGACACATTTGGTATGGGATTGGACACATTTAGTATAAGATTGGACACATTTGGTCTAGGATTGGACAAATTTGATATATGATTGGTCTCAATAGCATAGGATTGGACACATTTGGTATATCATTGGACACATTTGGTATAGGATTAGACACATTTAGTAAAGGATTGGACACATTTGGTATAGGATTTAACACATTTGGTATGGGATTTGACACACTTGCTATACGACACAACTGATTACAATGGTATAGGATTGGATTTCTTTGGTATACGAGTGATTACAATGTTATAGGATTTGACACATTTGGTATACGAGTGATCACAATGGTATTAGAATGGACACAATTGATATACAACTGATCACAATGGTCTAGGATTGGATACATTTGGTATAAGACTGATCACAGTGGTATACGGTTGGGCACATTTCGTATAGGACTGATAACATGGTCTAGGATTGGACAGATTTGGTATACGACTGGTCACAATGGACTAGGATTAAACACATTTGGCATATAACTGATCATAATGGTCTAGGATTGGACACATTTAGTATACGACTTATCACAATGGTCTAGGATTGTACAGATTTGGTATATGACTGATCACAATGGTCTAGGATTAGACACATTGATATAGGATTGGACGCATTGGGTATGCGATTGTACATGTTTGGTATAGGATTTATATACACACAATTTATTAGAACTTCGTCTAATATAACAGGAAATAAAACGAATCGTTGTATTGCATTCTCAATTATGGGGTAGAAACACTTATATTTCTTCAGCAATCTTTTTTTATCCGAGGATTTAAACTTGCCATAAACATTATTGCTTTATGTCATTTTTTATGCGCTAAATAATAGTAAGTGAAAAATAGATTTACCCAACTTCAAGATATCAAAATTCTTTAATATGATAATACCTTTGTTATACGTTATTTCAAGTTTAACTTAAAAGGTAAGTATAAAGAATTTAGAACTTATTCGACATTATTCCACGCAAATTTCCATTTATAATTGTATTTAAGAAATATATTTCACATTAAAATGCACTGTTGTTCATATTATGCACTGATATTATGTCATTAAGATGACTGCATGTACGACATATAGCCTAATAATTAATAAAAAAATCTTTAAAAAATAACCACATCTCTAATAATTTTTCTCCTATTTATTGTTTTAATTTTAATTGAAATATATCAAAAAAAATCAGAGAAATATGTCATTGTTTTTCTAAATATGCAAATTGGATATTGGCCATCCAATTTTAGCTCCGCTGTCATCTTAAATGACGGAATGAAGCTGTTCATAAAGGTGATTGTCCGTCGTCGTCCGTCGATACGACATCCGCCAATGACTTTCTTCGACTTCTACTTCAGTTGCCTTGATGCTTGACATGTATTGTACCTTGGGTGGACCTCTGTCAGATTTGTATATTTCGAAATGATATCTTAAATTCTAAATTTCTGGCAAATATTATTTCATTTTGGATAATGTGACGATGTGTTCCAGAATGCAAAGTACGTAGGTCGTAATAAAATACATAGTGAGTAATCTGATGTTCACACAACGTTGTGAGTTAGGATAAACCAAATCAATCATACCAGTAAGTGACTTCTAGCAGGGATTGTCATTGCTTTATTAAAGGTAGCCACATGTTCAACCAAGCGGGGGAGGGGCAATTACAGCACATACGCTCAGGCCATTTATCGAATGCATCAATATAATTTAATGAACTAAATAATTAAACAATATTCATAATCATATTTGTACACATTGCTAAGATGGCAAGTTGTGCCAGACGCACCCTGGGAGCTTGGCAGCCCGGTACTATGTAAATATCAAAGGCAGAGCTTACCCGGACCCAGGAGGACCTGGCAACGAAACCATCGACGCAAAATAATAATTAGCATTGAACATTAAAATATCAAATTATACCTTATAATCAGGTGTCACGATGTCAGGACGGCAAATACAAAATTCAAGCTCTTTTGGAATACAAACGAAGACGAATTTTTATAAACCCATAAAAACAAGAAAATAAATAAATAAAATCCTAACCTAATGTGTGTGCAGTATGGAATGCGAGTACGTACATTTCAGAAGTGCAGCTGGAGACAGTCATTGGCGAATAGTTCGTAACACAATGGGTGAAGATGTCAAACTCACCAATTTCTTCAGACTTTCATTGCCGACCACTGGAACAGTCCGTGCTAATAATCCAGGTAAGGGTAGATGATAATAATCTCTCAGCAAACGTTCTTGTAGCACTACCAATCAGATTGCTTTGATATTTAGTATGTATTAGTACATTTGTTCAGTTGGTGATGATATCTTGAATTTTTGGCAAATATGTTTTCGCTAAAAATTATATATTCAACTTGAAAATTACTAACACGATTGTTTTAATATATGAGGTGTACATATTTTTTGTAAAGGATTTGATGAAGTTAAGTATATTATATTATAGTATATCATATTCTCAACATCCAGAACGACATTCTCAACATCCAGAACGACACTACTTTTTGTGGGTAAACCGCGTTTTGTTATATATGTGTATATTGCTTAATCTGGCTATTACAATGTTCTAGTAGGACAGTGGAGATATTTCGACCATCAGTGACATTGTTTTTCCAGCAGAGGTCATCACGCGCAATCTTGCTAACTTGGCTGTATGGGTAAAAGGTGCCTCTCTGTACCCCTTTGCACCCATGTTTTGTTTTTACATATAAAGAACAGCGTTATGAAAAGTCACTTCGTTGCATGGCCGCGTTTAGCAAACCAGTAGCAGGCAAAACAAATAGCTCTGACCAAATATGAAGCATGAATGATTAATATTGCGTATCATAGCGACGCCGTTGGCTCCTTAAGCGTGTTGTAGGAGGAAATAATAATTAGCCCTTCCAAAGTTGTAACGGTCGACCATTATTCACAAGTAAATTAAATTTTCTAGTTTTGTTTTAATGTCACACCAACTTCAAAAACAATGACTTTAACGTCTCACCAAATTAGCCATCATAACAATGTGATTTATTTACCAGATTCAAAGTTGAATTACAATTTAAATAACAATAATAATAGCAGCAGTATAGTAATAGTTTTAACATTTTCGAATGCATTTATGCAATATTTTTTGATAAATTTAATTATATTACACACCTCATGTGGTGTGCTCTACTTTTTTTATTAGTGATAATGGTATATCAGTGATGCTAAGAAAATTCATATCGCTTAGATACAGCCAAAGAATGATGAGTAACAAATAATTAGTATAGCACATTAAGTTATGTGATATACTTTCTATTTGTGTGCCACAGTGTAAGGTCTGCTTATTGCAAATGAGAGGGCCACCCACAGAACTTTCACTGAGCAGGTTTTTTTCACTGCTAGAATGGGGTAGACAAGACAATAGTACTTGAAATAAAATACACATACACCAAAATATCAAGTTAAAGATCTTGGCTTTAATACCTCTCAATATAATAACAAGAATTAGAGCACAGACAAATACAATGACTAAATTCACTATAATGGGGAATTCCCCGGGGAAGTATACATTGGTGGTAACTCACAGTTCCAAGATGTAGAAATGGATGACAGTCGATGGCTTCTGTAACACAACAACGAAGAAATACAGGAGTATTGTTTGCAGAGAAACGCTGTTATTCTGGAGGGCGCTGCTGAAAGCATGAGGTCGCAGAGCAGTTCATACAAATCTCACAGAACGATGATTAAAACCTGTAACACTTGTCTCACAATATCGTAGCAACAACAAACAGGTTATACAGTAAAATTGATGAACCCAACTGTCCAGCCAATTTATAGGCCTAATTGCCCCAGATTCATGGACATCACCTGGGTTTCCACATCAGTCAATCAGAATGTGTTTTGCTAGCAGCTGTCTCACATAGGTAAGTCAGGAGATCATAAACATCTTTTGTTATTCAAATAAACTTGTCAATCACCTTTATGACAGTTATCACACGGCAATGCACACCGTTTCTTACCATGGTTTCATGCACACTTCTATTTGCAGAATTTGAAGTAATATGACAAAACCATAAAATAAACGATGCTGACATTGTGATAGTTATGCTTCTAAATTATGCTACACCAATGATTTCAATTAAATTCATTCGTTGACGTTCATGTTATCATTGTTCTCTACAGATATGATTCATAATATATGACATTTTTGAAAACAGTCAGCTGGAAATAAATTCCTACCGGGTTTATGGAGCAGAGTTAAGATTTTCGTTAATCACTGTGTCTCCCCCAATATACATTATGTTAGGATTTTTTCGGCGATTAAGACATATTAATTCTCCCAGTCTTTTGCGGAAAGTATCGTTAATTATCAAGTGAACAACAGGGTCGTAGATGTAGCTGATATGAAATACCAGATAACTCACTAAATCAATGGCATTGTAACGAGCAATACCGTCATTGACAACTATTGTCAATCTTGTGCAAAAGTGAAAAGCATAACCAGCTATGACGATGCAGTTGATAATAACCAACGCTTTGGCTGTCCGTATGCTCGATTTTGCACGGTTACGAAACGTCATTTCTAAGTGATGGCGATCCAGGACCGAGAAGTCGCGTTGCGGTGCAACGGCATTGACTTGACGTCTCCGTCGTTGGTTATGTCGCAGAATCTTACAGTTGTAGATTATTGTTCCGCTCGGAAAACATAATACGAGTAGAATACAAAACAGAACATAAGCAGCTTCTAGTCGTGGATCACGTATTTCGACACTTGTTATGCACAGTCCACTGCGATGTAAGTTCTCGGGATCCCAGAGAAAAATCGCTGGCAAGTATACGGAAATCAAAACAACGACGCTACTAGCGACCCAAATTTTAACACGACGGAAAGTCACTGGACTTTGGCATACGATGCTACGAAATCGTTCGTAGCTCATTATCGTCATCAAGATGAGAGGCAAGAAAAACAAAGTATAACGGACCAACTTATTCACTCTGCACATGAGCTGGCCAACAATCCATCCGATTTTCAAGACATTAAAGGGATAAAACACCATATGCCAGATACAATAGACAGTGTCGTTCAGAGTCAACAAGAAGAAGAGAAACTCAGAAATATTGTTTTTGTTTCGGTACATAAACAATGAAGACAAAATAGATATATTCAGGATGAGTCCAGCAATAAATATTACATACGTTGCAACCAATCGTAAAATGACAAATTGTTCGGAGAGTTCATCACGAGCCACGTGGAAGCTGGTGTGATTTCCCGTGCTGTTTTTTTCGGGTCCGTAGGACTGATTCATGTTGATTTATAATGATGAAATCATCCTCCGTTCAATATATAATGTAATTGATATCACAATACTCGCGTTCGATTGAATCAGTTGACGTCGCAAAATCACCAAAATTACAGTTGCATAACCTCGAAAATTTGTCAGCAGTTGTATAGACCCAAATTGTATACTATACCCAAACTTTGCTTCGTCCAGCTTGCATGAAAGCACAAATTGAATAACGCCGTGCCTTTACGAGTCTAATATGCTAGTAATAATATTATTATAATATTATTAATTTATTCACTAATACCACATAAATTCATGCATATAGAGCGTAGCTCGATACGACCGTGAACTGTTTGCAACTCTCAAGTGAAATTTTAAATAAAGTACCATGGAGGCTGCCACGTTTGCTTTATTATTAAAGACATTTACGCACGTGGTCATTCCATATTTGGAATTAGCATTTCTAATGTGGTAGGATGAAAATACCGTAAAATTACGGCACGCTGTAACGTATGGCGTTACATTGACAGATGTACAATAATAATCAGTATTACATATCACATGTTGAGGTTCTTACTAAATCACTGCACTCCTGTTTGACTTTTTACATGTAATATACAGAGGTATGAAAAATAATTTCTTTACATGGCAAATCAATAGAAGGCAAATGGCAAAGTGTTTTGAGGTTCAACAATGACGTACAAAATGCTTAATATGCAACAATGGTCAGATCGAAGTATGAAACACACTTCCTTATACAATGCATTTATTACAAAAGAGAGAGAGAGATGACCTCTTCAACAAACACATACAAGAAACATCACAATGGCGTGAAATTAGTCAGATCGAAACGTGTCCCAGTGTCGGCAACAAGCTTTGTAAACGGTTATGTTTTGGTCAGTTGAGTAGACAATTATGATAAACAAATACATTGTAGCAAACATAACGTCCAACCGTCCACTGCAGGTAATATAAATAGGTGACGGTTGATGTTGTGTTGGCGACGCACATTTGCGTTGGGATAGTTTATAGGGGACATAGCTCTTCTGTGTCGATAAAAATCCTAATATCCGAAAATAACAAATTTAATGACACCAACTAAAAAACCACCACAAAGACTAATAGCCGACAGAAAAAAAGCAACGGACCCACAGCTAAATCAAACTGTTACACTCGTTAAAACACGGTATATCTCTGAGCTAAACGAACAGATATTCCGTTGCACTGAAGAATGATCTAGTGTCAGCTGGTTTAATTTGATCAACGGCAGTGTATATAGAATACGGACAATTTTCGAAGCAGATTAAAGTCAATGGTGGTCGCTCTAAACACCGTTATTGTGTTAAAACTAAATTCCCCGGACTATTTCACACACACAAGTGCTTCACACACCAATGATGACTGTGCATGCTCAACGCGTGTTCAGAGAAACTTCCACTTCCTGAACTCAAATGGGTGTCAGACTGGGTTGCCAGACCGGGGTGCCAGGCAGCTTCAGCTTATTACAGAATTTAGTTATCGGTATTTTTCGAAAATTGTCGAGCCGTTACTATCAAAGTCTTGTTTTTATACGAACATGTGACACAGTTATACAATTGATCACAATGGTATAGGATTGGTCACATTTGATATACAACTGATCACAATGGCATAGAATTGGACACTTTTGGTATACAACTGATCACAATGCTATAGGATTGACACATTTGTTGTACAACTAGTCACAATGGTTTAGGATTGGACACATTTGGTAAAACACTGGTGATAATCGTATAGGATTGGATTTATTTGGTACACAATTGATCACATTTGGTGTAAGATTGAACACATTTGGTATACGACTGTTAACAATGGTATATGATTGGATTTATTTGGTATAGGATTGGTCACATTTGGTATAGGATTGAACACATTTTGTATACAACTGATCACAATGATATGGGATCGGACACATTTGGTATACGATTGATCACAATGGTATAGGATTTGATATATTTAGTATACGACTGGTCACAATCGTATAGGATTAGCACATTTGGTATACAACTGATCACAATATTCCTAGATTAAGATGACTGCATGTACATTATATAACCTAATAATTAATAAAAAGATCATAACAAATAACCGCATCTCAAATAATTGTTCTCCTATTTATAGTTGTATTGGTTTATTGAAATATACCCCCAAAAAATCAGAGAAATGTGTCATTGTTTGTTTAAATATGCAAATTGGATGTAGGTTCAGCTGGTGATGATATCTTCAATTTTTGGAAAATATTCTACGCTAAAAATTATATTTTCAACTTGAAAACTACCAACATGATTGTTTTAATATATTAATGATGTACATAATGTTTGTGAAGGATTTGTTTGATGAAGTTAAGTATATTATATTAAGTATATAATATAAAACGACGCTACTTTTTGTGGGTAAACTGCGTGTTGTTTTATAGGTGTGCATTGTTTGATCTGGCTACGACAATGTTCTTGTAGGACAGCAGAGATACTTCGACCATCAGGTTTCTTATTTCCAGTGACATTTTGTCTCCAGCAGAGGACATCATGCGCTATCCTTCTAATGGCTGCATAAGTAATGGTGTATATGTGTACATCATTGCACACATGTTGTTTTTTTTACATATAAAGAACAAAATTATTAAAAATCGCTTCGTTATATGACCGCGTTTAGCAAGCCACTAGAGGGCAAATCAAATATTGTAACCAAGTACGAAACATGAATGATTAATATTGCGTATCATAGCAACGCCGTTGGCTCCCTAAGCGTGTTGTAGGAGAATAGTAATTTGCCCTTCCAAAGTTCTAACGGTCGACCCTTATTCACATGTAATGTATTTATATCAACGGTCACAGCATTATTCACAGTGAGTTGGACAGCCAAATAGACAATCATTTGAACATTTCTCCGTCCTTTTATATCTACTGTTGCGTTGCCCGGTGGTTTTTGGTTGGTTATTTGTCGATCTGTCCGGACTGTATGAGTAGTAATAACGTCACGCTGCCTCGCCATGAACTGAAAAGTCCAACACCTGGTTTGTATTAACATTTGACACATTACATTTTCTAGTTTTGTTTTAATGTCACACTACCATCATAACAATGTGAATTATTTACCAGATTCAAAATTGAATTACAGTTTAAATAACAATAATACGAGTTAGCAGTATAGTAATAGTTTTAAAATTTTCGAATTGTAAATAGCAATATCGCCATTGATAACTATTGTCAGTCTTGTGCAAAAGTAAAAAGCATAACTAGCTATGACGATTCAGTTGATGATAGCCAAGGCTTTGGCAGTCCGTATGCTCGATTTTGCACGGTTACGAAACGTCATTTCTAGTGATGGGACAGCGAGGTCGCGTTGTGGTGCCACTGCATTGACTTGACGTATCCGTCGTTGATTATGTCGCAGAATCTTACAGTTGTAGATTATAGTTTCGCTCGGAAAACCCAACACGAGTAGAATACAAATCAAATCAAAACATAGCTTCCTGTCGTGGATCACTTGTTATGCACAGTCCACTACGATGTAGGTTATCGGGATCCAACAGAAAAATCCCTGGCAAGTATACGGAAATCAAAACAACGACGCTACTAGCGACCCAAATTTTGACACGACGAAAAGTCACTGGACTTTGGCATACGATGCTATGAAATCGTTCGTAGCTCATTGTCTTCATCAAGATGAAAGGCAAGAAAACGCAAGTATATCGGACCAACTTATTTACTCTGCACATGAGCTGGCCAACAATCCATCCGATTTTCAAGACATTAAAAGGATAAAACACCATATGCCAGATAAAATAGATAATACGAAGAAAAGAAATTCAGAATTATTGTTTTTGTTTCGGTACATATATAATGAAGACAAAATAGATATATTAAGGATGAGTCCAGCAATAAAGATTACATACGTTGCAGCCAAACGTACAAAGACAAATTGTATTCAATATATAGTGTAATTGTAAACTACTACTAGAAGATAGTGGTGAACAGAATATCAAATGGCAATAGAAAGACTATACGAATGATTGTTAGTTTAAAATGTCCAAAACTGTCACAGTGTAAAGCCTGATTATTGCGATTGAGAGGGTCACTCACACTGGACAGGGGGTTCTTTCATTGCTAGAATGGAGAATAGACAAGACAATAGTACTGAAAATAAAATACACATACACCAAAATATCAAGGTAAAGCTCCTGGCTTTAATACCTCTCAAAATAATTATAGGAATCAAAGTACAGAAAAAAAAAACAATGAATAAATTCACTAAAATAGGGGATTGCCAGTAGAGATGGATGACAGTCAATGGCTTCTGCAACACAACGACGAAGAAATACATGAGTCTTGCTTGCAGAGGAATGCTGTTATTGTGGAGGGCACCGATTAAAGCAGGAGATCACAGAGCAGTTCAGTCTCACAGAATGATGGTTGAAGCCTGTATCACTTGTCGCACAATATCACAGCAATAACACATAAGGTATTCAGTTGAAATGATGGACCCCAACTGTCTTCAGTCTAGTCTATGTATAGGCATACATGGCCCAGATTCAGACATCACCTAGGTTTCCACATGAACCAATCAGAATGTGGTCTTGCTAGCAAAGTGTGTTTAAACAAAGAACAAAGACTAGGGTGGGGTTTTCATTAAACAGAAAATGAAGAATGAAGAATATATATGTATATCACAGACCACGTAAGAAAAATAGGTATGCAGTCTGTGCATAGAAGAATGAAGACTGCATGTAAATGTATTTATTTGTATATCAATGTGTGGTTTTTGTTCTTCGTTTTAAAGATTAGGGTGGGGTTTTCTTTAAACAGAAGAACGAAGAATATATATGTTATGATTAAACAGTATGAATATTCTGCCTTCGTTCTTTGTTTTTCGTTTTCAGATCTTCGGTTTAAACACACCCGGAACAGGTTGTCACGAAGAGTTCTAACTATTTGATGTTTATTAAAGTGGATTGACCACCATTCAGAGAGTTTGGGGTTTCA